TGATCTCCCAAGCGAAATGCTGAGGGAGGGTGGCGTTTGTGCACAGACTGCCCTACATGACATCATAACAACAGTCTGGACCACTGGACGGGTTCCGCAGGATTGGAAGGATGCCCTGGTGGTCCCCCTCTTTAAGAAGGGGGACCGCACAGACTGTAACAACTACAGGGGCATCTCACTCCTCAGTGTGCCGGGAAAGGTCCTGGCAAGGATTATTCAATATCACCTTGCTAGGCACGCTGAGGAGAGGCTTGCGGAGCCCAAATGCGGTTTCAGGAAAGGGTGGCCCTGCACAGATGCCATATTTTATCTCCATCTGCTACAGCAGAGGTGTAGGGAATTCCAACAAGACTGACATCTCTGACCTGGTCAAGGCCTATGATACTATCAGTAGGCCTGGGCTCTGGGTTGTTCTTCGTGCTTTCGGAGTCCCTGACCCTCTGCTCACGCTCATTAAGGACCTTCATGATGGTGAGCGGGCCCTGGTAAAACTACGTGGCCGGGAGTCTGAGCCATTCCCTGTACACCTTGGGGTGCGACAGGGATGTCCTCTGGCTCCCACATTTTGTGACATCTTTTTCAACCACGTAGTTCGTGAAGCCTTCAATAGCTGTACCGGAGGAATTTCCATCTGGTACAGATACAATGGGAGGCTGATCGATGCTCCCTATTGCTCAACCACGTTATGTATGCCGATGATCTGGTAATTGCTGCTCACTGAGAGGAGGAGTTGGAGACGCTGCTGCTGAGACTGGAGCGTGCCACTAAGAGGTGGGGGCCTTACCATCAGCCCCACCAAAACTAAGCACCTGCCTGGGTATTTTGTACCATCAGACACTCCGCCCCCACAACTCCCAATCGGTGATGGGGCAGTAGTGGAGAGAGTGGAGAGTTTCCCATACCTGGGCAGTGTGCTCATGACCGGCTCCAGTTTGACAGCAGAGGTCTCACTCCGAATCAGTCGAGCGGCAATATCTTTTCATCGGCTGCGTAACGCCGTGTGGAAGCTACCTGGTCTGTCGCTCCGCACGAAGCTTTGGGTCTTCTCGGCCACAGTCATTCCCTCCCTTCTCTACGCTTGCGAAACGTGGACACCCCCTAATGGAGCATCTTCGCTGGTTAGAAACATTTAGGCTGGCCTGCCTACGATCCATCCTGGGGTTTAACCAGGCTGGATTGTGTGAGGAGCTCACAAATCCTTGAAAGATCTGGACAAATTCCCATCGGTGACCTCCTCCAGCAGGCAAAGCTGCGTTGGCTGGGTCATGTAGCCCGCATGGCCAGCCACCGCATACCTTAACAACTTTTGTTCGGCTGGATAGAGGGGTTTAAACGGTTGCGGCACGGGCTAGAGAAGAGATGGAGTGATGTGGTACAGGAGGACGTGGAGCTGAGTGGACTTGCCGATGACTGGTACCAGCGGTGTCAAGATCGGCCTCTGGAGGAGGCTCGTGAAGGACGCTACTGGGCAGTTGGAGGCAGTCGCCCTCCAACAACAACGGAGGGCGGAAGAGCGACGCTCACAACAACGAGCGGAGCGCCGGGCGGCTAAAGCACAGCAAGTTGGCACAGTAGGGGGCACAGGTGGTGCATCAGCCAGTCATCTCGGTCATCTCGGTCAGTCGACCCGTGGCACCTGCTGGGTCTGCCCCGTGACCTCCTGCCAGCGGGCGTTCGACACTTCACGTGATAGCCTCAAGGTGCACTTGGCCTGGCACGAGCGTCGTGGTGACGTCACCGCCACTTCGTGGCGAATGGCGGTTGTTGTTGTTGTTGTGTGGTGAGTGTGTGTATCAGGCCACCCCACCTCCTCTGTGTGTGCCACAGTTTGCCGGCAGCTTCCATAGGTGGTGCTACTCGCTGCTAGCAGCCCTTGCCCCTACAGCCCTTCTAGAGGCTACCTGGGGGAGCTTTGTCTGTGTGTGTACATCATAGGTGGTGCTACTCGCTGCTAGCAGCCCTTGCCCCTACAGCCCTGCTAGAGGCTACCTGGGGGATCTTTGTCTGTGTGCAGGCCTAGTCAGCTGAGCGTCTCACCGCGGAGCGAGGCTCTGCCCATCCCGGTACCGACTCAGAGGCTCAACTACCAGCGGATCCAGCAGCAGCAGCAGCAGACGGCCACCACTCACTCACCCACCTCACCCACCTACTCCTCCTCCTCACCACGGTGACTCAGCAAACCCCCTCCCCTCCCTCCTCCCCTCCCTCCCTCACATCCCTCCCCTTCCTCTCCCTCCCTTCCTCCTTCCATCCCTACCCTCCCCCTCTCCTGCCCCTCCCTCTCCTCCCTCCCTTCCCTCCCTCTCTCCCCTCCCCCCCCTCCCCTCCCCCCCTCCCCTCCCTCCCTCTCTCCCCCTCCCTCTCTCCCCTCCCCTCTCTCTCCTCCCTCCCTCCCTCCCTCCCCTCCCTCCTCCCCTCCCTCCCCTCCCCTTCCTCTCCCTTTCCTCCCCTCCCCTCCCTTCCCTCCCCTCTCTCCCCTCCCTCCCCTCCCTCTCCTCCCTCCCCATCTCCCTCCCCTCCCTCCCTTGATGACGATGTTGTGACACTGCTGATGACGTCGTCGTCGTTGTCGTCGTGGTTGTGACACTGCCGATGATGTTGTGATGCTGATGACGATGTTGTGATGACGATGACGTCATTGTTGTCGTCGTGGTTGTGACACTGCTGATGACGTTGTTGTGATGACGATGACGTCATTGTTGTCGTCGTGGTTGTGACACTGCTGATGACGTCGTTGTTGTCGTGGTGGTTGTGACAGCGCCGTGGTGCGTCGCAGCAGCACGTCACCGCACGGCTTCGCGAGGCCCGGGGGAGGGGGCTCCCCCCCCGTGGGGGGGGGCTGGCCCCCCACCGGGGGGGGCTCCCCCACGACCTCCCACGTGGGTGGTGGTGGCGGTGGTGGTGGTGGTGGCGGTGGTGGTGGTGGTGGCACCTCACGGCGTCTCTCTGTGGGGGGGGGCTCCTTCAGACCCCACTCACCCTCACCGCTTGGTGAGTGCTCACCACTCACCCTGGTCACTCACTCGGCCTGTCACTCAGTCACTCACTCAGCTTGTCACTCACTCAGCCTGTCACTCACCCGGCCTGTCACTCACTCAGCCACGCACTCACTCAGACACTCACCCAGTCACTCACTCAGTCACTCAGTCAGATACTCAGCCACTCGCTCACTCAGTCAGCCACTCAGTCAGACACTCACTCACTCAGCCACTCACTCAGACACTCACTCACTCAGCCACTCACTCAGCCACTCACTCAGCCACTCAGCCAATCAGTCACTTGGCCACTCACTCAGACACTCACTCAGACACTCACTCAGCCACTCACTCACTCAGCCACTCACTCACTCAGCCACTCACTCACTCAGCCACTCACTCACTCACTCAGCCACTCACTCAGACACTCAACTACTCACTCACTCACTCAGCCACTCACTCACTCGCTCACTCAGCCTGTCACTCACTCAGCCTGTCACTCACTCAGCCTGTCACTCACTCGGCCACTCACTCACTCAGCCTGTCACCCCCCCCCCCCCCCCAGTTGGGCTGGGGGCTGCTGATCAGCGAGGAGTTCCCATGGCAATGGAGACAAGGACCCGGCACTCATCCGGTACCCAACTCACCACTCACTCACCACTCACTCACCACTCACTCACCACTCACTCACCACCCACTCACTCACCCACTAACCCACCCACTCACTCACCACCCACTCGTTACTCACCCACTTAACCACTCACTAACCCACTCACTCACCCACCCACTCACTCACCCACCCACTCACCACCCACCCATCTACTACACATACTCACTGACTCACCACTCACTTGTCACTCACCCACTTACCCACTCACCTCTTACTCCCTTACCCACTCACTCACTCACCCACTCACTCACTCACCCACTCACTCACCACCCACCCACTAAACACAATCACTGACTCACCACCCACTCATCACCCACCCACTTACCCACTCACCCACGCACCTCTCACTCCATTACCCACCCACTCACCCACCCACTCACCCACTCACCCACCCACTCACCCACCCACCCACCCACCCACCCACTCACCGACCCACTCACCCACCTACCCACCCACTCACCGACCCGCTCACCCACCCACTCACCCACCCACCCACCCACTCACCCCCCCACTCACCCACCCACTCACCCACCCACCCACTCACCCTTCCACTGTCCCCCCCTCTCCCTAGGCTCCCCCGTGCCCCCCACTCTGGGTGCAAAGTTGCACAGCGCTCCAGAACTTGCCGACGGCTGCTGGAGCCACCACCACCAGCACCACCACCAGCAGCAGCAGCAGGAGGGAGCCCGCCACTCACTCCGCAAGCACCGCTCCGAGCCCACGACCGACACCACCTTGGGATTCTTCACGGCTACGACAGCAGCAGCAGCAGCAGCAGCAGCGGGAAAATCGACGGCCGCCACCACCGCCACATTCTCCTCTCCACACCCGCCTGGTGGTGGCGGTGGTGGCGGTGGTGGCGGTGGTGGTGGCGGTGGTGGTGGCGGTGGTGGTAACCGCATGACCTCGCCGCTCAAGGTGGGAGCCTTCGTGCCGATATCCAAGTCTCCGCTACCCACCATCATCGGCTCTCCGACCAAGGTGAGGGTGGGCGGCGTGGTTCCACACGCGACGGCGGCCATGGTGGCGAGGTTGTGGGGGAGCTGCTGTCATCTGGTGATGGCCACGTGGCTTGTGAACACAGAGTCACTCAGCAGGTCTGTGGGGCACCTTGCACCTGGTGACGGTCAACACTGTTCATACTCTCTCACCCCCCCATCTCTCCCCCACCCCCCCATCTCCCCCCCTCCCCCATCTCCCGCCCCCAGGCCGGCTCTCCCTTTGAGTTCCCCCAGAAGCCCTCATCATCGGGGAACCTCTTCGCCCTCGTGACTCAGCAGGGCCTGGCTCTACCCCCCGGGCACGCCGGCGTGCCGGGGGTCGGGCGGTGCGCTCCGGCACGCACCGCCACCGTGCCCAACATGCGCCAGCACGCTGCTGCTGCTTCTGGTTCTTCTGCTGCTGCCGCACTGCGCATGGGAGGTGGTGGAGGAGTCTTTGACACGACTGTCGGTGGTGGTGGTGGCGGTGGTGTGGCCGGGTCACCGGGAGAGGAGAGGCAAGCGATGTTTGGCAGGTACGGTGACGATCGGTGAGAGTTCCTGCGTGTGTGCACGTGTGTGTGTGTGTGCATGTGTGTGTGTGCGTGTGTGAGGCCTCAAGGTGCACATGGCCTGGCACAAGTGTCGTGGTGACGTCACTGCCACTTAGTGGCGAATGGCGGTTGTTGTTGTTGTTTGTGTGTAT